CTCAGATGACCTTAGCTGCATGTCACGAATGATCTCATCTATTACCGGAATATTAGTGTCGAGGTTAGCAGTTGCATCCTGCAACTTTACAGATAGCCTGTTTTTGAAAAGATCGATGTGTACAACAGTGTTTCGTCCGCCGGAATATTGAACAATAAGGCGTAATGCTTCTTTAAAGATCAGGAATACTTCGTGGCGGACTTTCATGTCCGGTTTTAATGACCGCACCCGTTTATCCAATGCGATTTCGATCGTTGCACCGTGCCGGTTTTTTAGCGCATCTGCAAACTCCATCATGCGAAGGAGTGATTTTTCCATGTTGTCGTTTTCCGGGTCGATGCTCCAGAGTATGTCATCCATCGCGATGATCATATTGTGACTCTTTGCGCTGATCTGGTCAATATATTCCTTGGACCTGTCAATATCTTTATCCGCCTTTATTCTCGCCATTTCGCTCAACAGGTTAATGTTGTTGAGCGTAGTATTTACTTCCTCGTGCAGGTTGCTGGCAATCTCGGTACGTACTTTTTGCATGGCAAGTAACCGGTTCACGCGTTGCTTATCCAACCAGTAAAAAATACCGGCGATCAACAATGTCAGGATACAGAAGAACCACCAGGTTTTCCAAAAGGGAGGAATAACCCTGATCCTTAGTTCGGTTACTTTTCAGAATAAACACCATCGCCGTTCTCACAACGTACCTTGAACGTGTAAGTGCCGGGTGGAAGATAATTATACGTTGCCTGGCTTTGCCCGGTAGATTTACGAACCCAGCCCTTATCCAGGTTTTCCAGCATATAACTGATACCATAGCTGTTTTGATAAGTGAGCGTGGAATACTCAATGACGATAGAGTTTTCACCCGGCTTTAAAACAATTTCACGAAGCTTTTGAAGTGAATCAACATTAAGGGCTTTATTCATCAGGCTGAATGCCGTTATGACGACATTGGCGGGTCTAAGATCCATTTGCATAACGGCACCGGGATTAAATACCATCATGTCATGTGCCGTGCCCAATACAACCCGCCCATCATTCAACGTACAGCTGGCTCCGGTGGTAAAAGTGGTGGTAGGCAAACCATCGTTTTCATTGTAAATGCTG